TTACTAATAATAATGATATATTTGGTTTTCTTCCTTTTTCTATCACGACGTGATACGTTGTAATTCCTGATCTTATTTTATCCTACCCTTTAATTCATGATCGTAATTCCTGATCTTATTTTATCCTACCCTTTAATTCATGATCGTAATTCCTGATCTTATTTTATCCTATCCTTTAATTCATGATCGTAATTCCTGATCTTATTTTATCCTACCCTTTAATTCATGATCGTAATTCCTGATCTTATTTTATCCTATCCTTTCACTTACATTTATCCTTTTCAATCAAAGAAATATGCACAACAATAAATGATTAATTTCTCAAACAAATAAATAATTATTGATTTGAGAAAGAATTCCAAGAAATGACTGCATTAATAAAAAATGTATAAACAAATAAAATTTAAACAAATAATCTTTTATTCATAAATTTGTATATTACCTTCTCCCTCTCTCTCTCTCTCTCTCAAGAAAATGAGAATTTCATAATTTACATTTGAAATGAAAATGAAATAACCATCAACAAATGAATACTAAAACTAACAAGTAATTAAAATACAATCAGATTTACTTAATAGAATAGAATAACTTCAAATTATATTAAACTTAATATTCCTATCTTTTATCAATAATATATTACAATTTAAATTAATTATTCGTAAATCATTTCAATTCCGAAAATGAAAATTTACTACTGTACTTGATCTGAAATATTGAAAATGCTTCCTTCGCCATTTTTCATTACATCCTAAAATAATATACAGTAGACATGTATCATCACGTAGAACAATAGCGGTTATGAAATGGATATATCATATATAATACACGCAAAATTTTAATACTATTCAAGTATTAAATATTGATTATTAGTTGCAAATTTTTATTAAATTAGTTATACTTATTGATAATGCTTAAAAAATAATTAATTAAGCTATAAATAACAATCGATTAATTATACATATAAAAGTGCATAAGTTGAAAAAAAGTATTACCACATTTTTTTTCATAGAATTTATAAATTATATGAAATAGATGAATTATTTTGTACAAGCGAACAGATTACTAATTATTTACTCATTAGTTTGAAACAATGACAACAACAGAAACACCTTTACCTTATTTAATATTATAATATATTCTCCATTTTAAATCTGTTATTTGTTTCACGTAATTATATTTCTACTATGTCGAAATATAAATTTTATTTTCTCATCAATGAATTATTTTATTTTTTTTGAAAATTATACAATTCACATAAGTTATATAATTATATAATTAGTGTAAGTTATATAATAAAAATTATATAATTCGTATAAGCGTAATTCATGTAAGTTTTCAGCTCTCTTCAAACATTCTGAATGAAATGAAAAATCAATTAAAAAATACTTAATAAAGTGTTAATTATATTTTTACTAATTTGAATATATTTTACTTTTTATATTTCTATTATTTCAATAATATTTCTACAAACTTTAAAGGAAATTTTTAAATTGACAATTTTACAATTTTAAAAATTAATTAAAAAGCTAAACAAAAATTAGAATACGGCTTAAAAAGTTTTTTTTTGAAAGAAGCGAAAGCTTTAATATAAATTTTGATTTTCCGTTTATATAAATTGGAATTCATTTTGTTTCGATGCAAAAAGAAGAGGAACTTTTAGGGAAGTGAACCATTTCAAATTGAGTTAGAATATAAATGATATATTTCTTCTGAATACCTTAACTTTTTTAAAATGCAAAAAAGGGAAACTGTAATATATTTTAGGGAAGTGAACCATTTCAAATTGAGTTAGAATATAAATGATATCATTCTTCTGAATACCTTAACTTTTTTAAAATGCAAAAAAGGGAAACCGTAATATATTTTAGGGAAGTGAACCATTTCAAATTAAGTTAGAATATAAATGATATCATTCTTCTGAATACTTTTAACTTTTCAAGAATGCAAAAAAAGAGAAACTATAATGTGAATTCTGATTTTCCTTTATGTAAATTAAAATTTTTCTTATTCCCAAATTACAAAAGAAAAAAGGAATATGAAAATTTTTTCTTAATCCATTTGAACATTATTAAATTTTTAATTTAAAATAACTAAAAAAAGAATTATGTTATTTCGCTTTTGCTCAAATTCAATACAGTAAGAAGAATTATTAAGTAGAATTCCTTTTTTTTTTAATTTTGGTAATTTAATAAATTCATTTTCATTTTTTGAATAATTTAAATTCAAACCAAAAAATTAGCGTCGAATATTTTTTGTATGAAAAATGGATTTCAAACCAAAAAATGCACGTCGAATATTTTTTGTATGAAAAATGGATAATAAAAATTTTCAACGAATATATATGTGTGTTGTTGTGTGTGTGTGTGTGTGTGTGTGTGTGTGTGTGTGCAAGAAATTATGCATTTTCATCTTAATTATTTTCAAAGAAAGTTGCAAAAATTCAAGAAGTTATAATCGATTAAATATTTCTTTTTGCATTTTTAATTATCTCAAAAATTCGTTTTTAAAATAATTCGTTTTGATTTTACTTTTCACACACATACACTTCGTCAATTGTTTTTTCTCTTTCTTTTAATTAAAAAAAATTTTTGAGACAATTAAGAAAAATGCAAAAAAATATTTGGCTGTCTACTTTTTGTACGGAACAGCCTGCTAAGATAATAGCATAAAAATTAATCAATCTAATAAAATTTTACACAAAAATTGATATTGAAATTTTTCATGAAATTTTTTAAATTTAAATAAAATTAAAATTATAATACTCATTCATAATTAAAATACTCATAATTATTATAATTATACTCATAATAACTCATTCATTAATTAAAATACTCATCCATAATTAAAATTTTTGAAATATTTAAATGAAAAAAAAAGTTTAAAAATTTTCAAAATATTTTCTTTTTACACCTAATATCATAGTAAAAAGGGAAACATTGAAATGAGACCAAAACAAAGAAAAAGAAGGAAATAACAAGTGGGAATGTTACATTGACATTGTGATAAACCATTGTCAACGATATGTATCAAAATAGCAAAACGATATGCATAATAAATCAGGCAGTCTCTATTTTTTTTATGAATACCGGATTTCGTTTCAGTTTTTCTTTTTGGTTAATTTTTTCCTTATTATATTTCAAATGATTCAAATGATCTTTATTCTTACTAATTTTATAAATTTAATATATATGTTTGATTTCAAAGAAAGTATGAAAATCAATATGTATTAGTAAATTTTAAAATTATACGGTATTATGATGTAATTGATAGAATTCAAATATTTGACAATGAAATTATTATAACTGCTAAATTTAGCTAAGAATCGATTATTTCGATATTTGAGAGCTAAGAGTCGATTATTTCGATATTTGGGAGTTAAGAATCGATTATTTCGATATTTGGGAGTTAAGAATCGATTATTTTGATATTTGGGAGTTAAGAATCGATTATTTCGATATTTGAGAGCTAAGAGTCGATTATTTCGATATTTGGGAGTTAAGAATCGATTATTTCGATATTTGGGAGTTAAGAATCGATTATTTCGATATTTGGGAGTTAAGAATCGATTATTTCGATATCTGAGAGCTAAGAGTCGATTATTTCGATATTTGGGAGTTAAGAATCGATTATTTCAATATTTGAGAATATTTAGTTATAAATCGATTATTTCGATACTTGAGAATATTTAAATAGGAAAAAATTAAATTCTAGTAAAATTTAATTAGTAATATATAGCTGGAACAAATAATAATAATAATAATAATAATAATAATAATAATAATATTTTCTATTTAATAAAATAATTTTTAAAAATTTTATTTCAAAATTAACTTGTATATTTTTTAAAACAAAAGAAATCAATTAAAAAATTTTGTAACAAAATTAATTAAGTGAAATTAATTTTGTCATAAATGTTAAGAAATCAGTTTAAAAAAATGATTGTGAGGAATGAATCGGCTAAGTAAGACATCTACTTTTCCTGCACATCTGTTAGATTTCTCTCATAAAAAAAATTAATCAATATATTAATCGGAATTTCTGATTTCTTTTATTTTAAGATTCAATAATTTCATGCCATATGGCAAAAGAAATTTATTTTGCCCAAAAAAAATTTTATTTAAAAATTAAAAATATAAATTTTCACTTTTAAAATGTTTATATTTATTGAGAAAAATTTGGAATGGATCTTTCAAATTTATATTATTACATTTATTTTATAGCATTTTATAAATGTTGAAAATTACAAAAAGAAATAGTCTATCTAAAATTTACGGGCTTACATTCGATACACACACATGATGATATGCATTTATTTCGTTTTTTTCTTCAAACAAAATTTTTTAAAAACAAAAAGTTTTTCAGAGATCAGAATCAATAATTAATAATTATTAATTAGCAAATAATAATCGGTAACTAATAAACAATAATCAATAATTGGTTAGCAACAATTGGTAATTAATCGTTTGTAATAATAGTAATAATAATAATAACAATAATAATAGAACTAATGATAATAATAATGATAATAACAATAACAATAATAGTTATCCATCAACTGAAATAACAGTTAGCTTAAAAAGTATCTATTATGAATTTAGACATAACAAAATTAAAATTGATAAATTTGTTAATAACAATATAAAATGAAATTATGTATGATAACAGTTTTATGAAATATTATTAATCAATAATATATTATATTTGTTCGTTTATTCATATTGTTTACTAATTTCAACTTTTAATTCTATCAATTTAACACAAATCAAATTTGATAAGGTTTGTTGATACTATTATCATTATTATTCTAATAATTAAATATCAACAAATAGGAATGTAATATAAATAACGATATTGAGCAACAAATATATCACATAATTCAACAAATTCATATAATCAAATAATATTCATTCAATTACAAAATTTCAATCAATTTCGATGAAAAAGATAAAAATAAAAAATTAATTTTATTAATTAGTAATTAAGAATAATTAATGTGTGCATTAAAGGAAGGCATTCATCTTGTCATTTTCTTGTTGTCGAGTTGATTCAGAACGAAAAAATGCACTCACTAAACCTTCGCTGATAAATAAACTACATGATAGTAGTGATAATATCTGAAATATCAAAAGAAACAAAAAGTAAACTTTTCGAAAAAAATATTTAAAATAATTTTAATTAATTAATTTGAAAAAAGCGATAAAAACAAAACAATAAAATATTTTTTAAATTTTGGATAAAATTTTCTTTTTAATTCATTTCCTATTTTTTAAATGAAATTCTTCCTTAATTATTTAATTTTAAATTTACACTAAATTAATTGCTAATAATAAATTAAAAAATTAAAGATAAACATACTCCAGCTAAAGCCCAACCACTAATTCCACATTGCATATCAAAATATGATTCCAACAAATTATAATCTCTGCGTAAAATATCAACCCGATAGTAATCATTAATCCATGGACATGTACTATAGTACATTTCTAGGCCAAAAACAAACAGTGAAAATGGTACTGCACAAAATGAATAACACATACACTGAAATTGCTATCATTTATAATTTTAGGTTTTAATATTTGATTAGTTGAAATTTGTAATTTTATTTCTTTCTCATTATTCTTATGCAAAAATTTTACAAATGAAAAAATTTCTTATTTCAAATTATTTATGGCTATTTTTCTTTCTCATCAATTTTTAGCAATAAATGTTAGCAAATTAATTAGTACTATTTGAAATTAATTAATATTATTATAACTTGAAAACAATAAATATTTACTTTTCTGGAATAATTTTTTTCAAAATGAATTTCAAAATTTACCATTATATTTAAACTTTTTTGAAACAATATAAAAAGGTCAACAAAATTAATTATTATTATCTATAATTAATAGATTTCGTTGAAAAATGAAATTTTAATTAATAGATTCATGCAAATTAATTATTCTCTATAATTAATAGATTTCAAAATTATCCTTCCACATCATCCATTCTCATCTCTCAGCTTTCTCGCTGTATCACAAACATTCTCAAGTATACTTTCTAAATCATAAAAATGGATGATATTGTTGAATACAATATCGGCTAGCTCTTAACAATCATAAAATACCATATAATACCTTTTGCAGATATTTCTATCAACATATTTTCATTTTTATTTTAATTTCTAAATTTCGAAATTTAAAAATTAAAATTAAATATATAGGATTAATTCACTTTTCACACCTATCTTTTTTTTCATTGAAATAAAATATATTTTTAATATTTGTTAAAATTAAAAAAATATTTTAATAAAATTTTTTGCAACAATCATTAATTAATTATTTTTGCATTGTTTTCTTCTTTTGTTTTAATTAAAAAAATATTTCTAAAAATTTTACCAATAAACGAGAATATTTGCACCAATATAGTTGTATGATATGTGAAATAATCGTTATTATCAATATGATTGTTGTAATTGCTGTAGCAAAATATTGTCCATTTAAGCGCATTTCACTAAATGTTATCGGTAATTTCGAATAAATATTATAGTACCATTCATCCGGTGTTAACATCAATGATCGTTTACCACCCAAATTTGAATAGTATTGTCCAACACCGCTCAAAATTAATGCATCAATTGTAAATAGCAACAACTAAAATAGTATTAATTTAATTAATTATAATTATAGTTTCATCTTTTCCTTTTCATTTTTTACAGCAATAATTTATCAACAATGTTGTGAAAAGAAAATGAAAAAATTAATTAATTTAAATGTAATAGAAAACAATGCGAATTTTTAATTAATTAAATATTAATGAGATGATTTGAAATTATTTAACTATTATTAAATTTTTCCAGCTATTTAATATTATTTTATATGGAAATTATTTTCAATGCAATGAAAAACAAATCGAATTTTTAATTAATTAATTAATTAATTAATTATTAGTAAAATAATTTGAAATCATTTAGCTACTACTAAATTTTTGCAATTATTTGATATTATTTTATTTTTTATTTTAGGATATTCATTTTGTTTCATAACTTTGCAAAACAATTTTTACAACACTGACTATTTCAATTCTCTTTTTCACTAAATTATTGATTTTAAAAAAAGTTTCATTTTTCTTTGCTAATATAAAATTTTATAAAATTATGTTCTGAGGAAGAGGAAAAAAATTATATTTCAATAGAAAAGATTATAAACTTTATTTGAAAAATAAGCTTTGCAAAAAGAAAAAGGTTAGATGGCGATTTAAAAAATTAAATTGTTAAATCTCTTCTCTTTTCTTTTCGCTATAATTAACTGAAATTAAATATGGAACGTCTTTCTTTAATTTATCATCTTTCCCCTTCCAACGAAAGAATGGATCATTTAGGAATTGAATAGAATGAATGAATATGTATATTGAATTAAGTGTGAAACTTCTTCCTTTAATTTGTCACGTTCTCCCCTCCCTTCAACGAAAGAATGGATCATTTAAGAATTGAAAAGATGTATATGTATACTGAATTAAGTGTGAAACTTCTTCCTTTAATTTGTCACGTTCTCCCCTTCCTTCAACGAAAGAATGGATCATTTAGGAATTGAATAGAATGAATATGTATACTGAATTAAATACGGAACTTCTTTAATTTACCACCTTTCCCCTTTCAACGAAAGAATGGATCATTTAGGAATTGAATAGAATGAATATGTATACTGAAATATGCAACTTCTTTCTTTAATTTAACACCTTCCCCTTTCAACGAAAGAATGGATCATTTAGGAATTGAAAATGTATATTTAATTTACCACCTTTCCCCTTCAACAAAAGATTGGATCATTTAGGAATTGAATAGAATGAAAATGTATAATTTCAAATTAATGAAATTCTCAATCATTTGCAACTGATTAATAACGCAAGCGATAATGAATAGGAATTGTTAAAAGGATGCTAATGAGCTATAGAAAAAATTATGCAAATTAATTTGAATGAAATGATGCTAATAAGTTCGATAATTCACGGTGTCATCATCCATTTATTTACACATTCAGCTAAATGCACAATCAACTAAATAAATAAATTATTCAAACTATAAAATAATTTAATCAAATAATTGAAATTAGAAATACTGAAATTAAATAACTAATATTTTCTGGTATTATTTAGAAAGAAAATAATATTATTTGTAATTAAGAATCGTTTAACAAACATTTATCCTACTAAATTTAAACTTTTCGATAACTGTATAAATCCGGAAAGCAACCGGAAATAATCACATCATATGATTTTAAATATTAGCTTAATCAAGAGATTTTATTAATTAATCATAATTTTTTTCCTTCAAATTAAATCACTCTTCTTTTCATTTTTTCTTACAGATACTATAAATTTCTCTTTATTATATTAATGCACAAATTTTCCCTTCCGTTTCTTTCACATATCTTTTTTCCGGATTCCATAAAGTATAATTATTTTTTCAAAATTTCCACATCCCTCATTTTTCAGAATCTACAAATTTTAATTCTTCCACTATTCATTTTTTAAAAATTTCATAACTTACAGCTTTCTTCTTTTCAAAATCAATTAAAATATTATCTTAGGATATTTTAGAATAATTTAAAAATATTTTGCTAAAAGATCGGTTACAAAAACGGAAATGTCTTTTTCAGTTTTCTTCAGCTATGGTTCATTTATTTCATCATTTCAATAATTTATAAATTACAAAAACGAAATTTGAATCCATGAAATGAGTGAGAAAATACAGAAGTAAAAGAATTTGATTTGTTGGAAGAGATTTAGAAGAAATAATTCGTTTTAATCTTTATTCGCCTAATTAAATAGCATCCGCTGTCATTGAAATATTTCCATCTTTTAAAAAAATATTTTTTAAAAATTTCAAATCAAATTAATCATACCAAATTAATGGTTCGTAATACAATAACAATTCGTTTTCCATTTATATTAACGTGTTGACGATATTGCACTTCCGATTCTAGCGCTTGTGCAACGAGAATTAATCTAAAATTGTTTTAAAATTAAAATACAACAAATATTTAAATTAAAAAGTAAAATAATTTATGCTAATATATATTCTAATTAATTATAATTAAGTAAAAAAAAAGAGAAAAAGCTATAATTACTGACCGATTAAGTGTGCCGGTTGATAACCGTCGTTCCGGATTAATCTTCGAAATATTACGATTCGAAGTATTTGATGTTGTTCGACCAGATTCCTTATAATTTCGCATTAATTTACATATATCTAATTCATGTTTCGTTGTTGTAGACTATAAATATTGAACTATTATTAATTAATGATGAAAAAAGAAATGTGATAAATAAAATAAGTAAATTTCCAAACTTTAATTTAAGATTATTTGCAATGAACGAGAGAAATAATGAAAGAAAGAGAGAGAAAGGAAAGAAAGAAATAGATGATTATATTATATAGTTAATGATGAAAAATTATAGTAAGATAATGATTGATGATGAAAAAAAGCATAATAAATAAACAAACATTTCAGAAAAATAAATTAAAACGTCGATTGAAAATTTTGAAACTCTATTTGAAAAAAATTTGAATTTTCGAAAGAAATAAAGAAAAATGAGAGACAGACAGAGGAAGCGATAGAACAAGAATTTAGGAATAAAAAAATCATAGAACGAATAAAAGAGAAAGCCTCATTTGGCTAATTTAAAAGGCTTTTTTTAGGAAGAAAACTTGGCTAATTTAGGAGATCTTCTAATAAAAGGAAGTTTAAGCAAAATTTAAAAGATGAAATAAGGAATTTTTAAAAATATCAGATTGATTAAAATTTCTTAAATTTTTCTTTACGTTATTTTTGAAGGCAATAAACAGAAAATGAATGTTATATGATAAATACTTCAGACTAAAAATCAAATGCTTTCTCAATTGATAAAATTGTTTAGAACAATATGAAAATTACTTCATTGACTGAAAATTAAATGTTTTCTAAATTGATAAAACTATTTAGAACAATATGATAAATGCTTCATTTGATAAATATGATAGATTATATATTATATATAATATAATAGATTGAAAATTAAATGTTTCCTAAATTGATAAAACTATTTAGAGCAATATGATAAATGCTTCTTCATATGATACATATGATATATATAATATGATAGAATGAAAATGAAATGGAAATGTTTTCTAAATTGATAAAACAATTACGATAAATGTTGCTAAATTAAATGAAAGAATTATATAAATGCACATGTTTTCTTCTCTGGCATTTTTGTATAATAAAAATATTTCGGAAAAGAATTTAACCTCCAAAAATTTTTGCAAAAAATATTTTCTTCGAAAATTTCATTTTCATTTATGAATGAAAAAGTTTGATTGAAATTTTCATGGATGAAAATATTTCGTATTACTGTAAGATACTTTTCTATGAAATATCATTCATCGAAAGTCTATTCAAACTGTAATATTTCAAATAAAATCCGTTGAAAAAAAATTAGAAATTGTAAATATCAAAGAAAAATTTTAAGGAAAAGAGAAAAATGAAAAATTTATTATCTTTTTTAATATTTTATTGGAATTTCAAATATTTACATTAAAAATTTGATGTTTAAAAGAAAAATGAATTTTACGACATTTTAAAAAAACATTTAACAAATTTTACATTTAATATTTAATAAATAAAAAATAATTAATGGATTTTATATTTAACGTATAATAATTAAAACTAATTAATAGATTTAAAAACAATTAAATATTTATATTACAATTTAATGTTTTTTAGAATAAAAACATTAAATAATATTTTAATAGAATTTAAATATTTCTGATTAAAATTTTGATATTTTTCGAATAAGAAAAAATGAATTATAAGCATGAAAAATTTAGAATTTAACAAATTTCATAGATTTGATAGATTTCATTTAATTAATTTGTATTATTTATAACAGGAATAATTAAATGTTTTGTTGAAATTAAATTTCGATAATTTCATTACTGAAATAAACAATAAATAAACAATATATAACAATACATTGTATAATTCATTCTTTTTAAAAGATTGGTTGAAATTTGCATATTTGAATTTAATCGTTTTTTTCATATATTAGTTGGATAGATTATAATTTGAAAAAAAGTATTTGTTGGAAATTTCGCCTTAGACTTTTACTTATATGTATGCAAACAGATTTGGATAGATGACACACAGATACACATATATATATGTCGACATACAAACACAACACACATATATACATTCACTCACATACACACATACACATGCGAATGCATGTACACACGCATGCACACACATACATGAAGGTAATGATAGAAGCACACATAAACACACATGTGCAAAAATGCATGTACGCATGCATGCACATGCATACACAAAAGCAATGATAAAATGCACATACACACGTACACACACACACATGCATGCAAACATATATATACAAGAGCAATAGTAAAACACACACGCATACGCATGCATGCACATACACAAAAGTAGTGATGAAAGGAAATTTTCAATTAATTAATTGATTTAAAAAAGTAAAAAAGAAAAATGAGAAAAAGAGATGAGAGAAGAAATTTGAAATGATTAAACTGGAAGAAATGGCAAGGCTCATTTCACAAATAAGGCAAAATGACAAGAAATTTAAATTACTATGAGAATTTCGTAATTTCATTTTATTTAACGATTACTTCATTAATTATATTTAAAAGAAAAAAAATTAGAGAAAGAAAGCATTCATATAATTTAATGGTACTTTATTACAATACTATTAATATAATTTATAATTAGAATGTGAAATTTAGGAATTAAAATTCCTTTTTGTTAATAGATTATAAATATTTGATGAGTCATTTAAAAAAATATTTATCACACTTATACCATTTAATGGTACTTTATTATAATATTATTAATATAATTTATAATTAGAATGTGAAATTTAAAAATTAGCAATTTTTTTTTATTAATAGATTGTAAATATTTGATGAGTCATTTAAAAAATATCTATCGCACTTATACAATTTTATGGTACTTTATTATAATACTATTAATATAATTAATAATTAGAATACTTACTTTTGAAATAAAACATATAATTTATGTGTTTGTGACAGATTTTGAATGACTCATCAAAAAATTTTTGTTAAATTAACGATTTTTCTTTTGTTAATAAATTATAAATATTTGATGAGTCATTTAAAATCTGTCACAAACACATAAATTATATATATCATTTCAAAAGTAAGTGTTATTATAAATGAGATAACACTTAAAATTTATTAAATTGAAAGAAACTAAAAATGAAAATGATAAAAGTGATAAAATATAAAAATTTAAAAATGATAAAAGTGATAAAATATAAAAATTTAAAAGTGACTAATAAAATTATATGCAAATTTAAACGTTCATTATATTATATTTTGAAATTTTAATTTTAAATAAGCAAAAGAATTTTACTTTCAACGATAAAAAATGAAACTAAAATTTCAGTATTCAAATATTTGATCTAACAAATTTCATTTTCAAAAAGGGAAAGGAAAAGATAAAAGGAAAATTTAGGATTCAAGACATTTTCCCTTTCAATTTCATCGAGCCATTTCCATTTCTCACTTCGACAACTTTGTTGAAAGACTTTCAAAAAAATGTTGAAAATTTTCCACCAAAAAAATTTCAATGCAAAAAATCGAAAAGTTTAAAAAATTTGTTGAAAAAATTAAAATTTCAAAAATTTTGTTCAAAAAAGAAATTTGAATTATATTTAGGAATTAATAAATATTACTAAATTAATTAATAAATATTACTAAATTAATTAATAAATATTACCTCATTAAATGTTTTTGTAATACTTCCAATGCTATTGGTTGATTTTGATTTCATTGTTGACATTTTTGATGTAACATCAAATTTCCGATTATTATTGCTGTTGTTGTTGTTGTTGAAGCCGGAACCATTATCAATTGTAGAATATTTATAATAAATGGGTTGTGATTCGATTGATTGCATTGATGAACAAGGAAATAATGCATTACGATAGTTACCGGATTCAGAATCAACTTCCATTTTCCCTAAACCGATTTTCGCCTCATTACTTCTTCCAGCTAACCAAACGTTTCATTCAATTTTCGTTTCACCAATTATCATCAATTTCATTCGTTTGTCGTATGAATGAATTATTTATTAGAAATAGCATTTGAATTGAAAAGTGAAATTATTTCATTCACTACACACACATACACATCACATACACATACACACACACATACACGCACACACACACACACACACACACACACACATTATAAGTAATATATAATTATATATCTGAAATGGATATTTGAAAACTAACAACTGGAATATATTAATTCATATAAAATGATTATAAGAAATCAAATAGCGTAAATTATTGACAGCGTAAATTATTGCTAGCATAAATTAAATTATAATTAATAAGATAATGGCAAAATAATAATTAAAATAATATGTAACAAAAATAATCATTAATTTAATAATATATTTGCAGATGTGCAAATAATTTATAGTTGCATAAGAAAGAAAAAGCATGCAATTATTCATTTCTTATTTAATACTTAATTTTCATATATAATATTTAATACTTAATTTTTTATACAAATAATTTAAATACCGATTAACTTAATAAAAATAATATTGCATTAATATGAAAATGAAAAATATGAATAAATAAAAAATATTAAACAATGAAAAAAGAAATATTTCTTCTTGCATCTAACTTAATAAAATAATTTTAAATCAGAATAATTTAAATTAATTTAAATCTTTCAAAAATTAAAAAAAGAGAAACAAACAAATGATTTCTGTATATTTGCTATATCAAATAATGGATATTTTAATATAAGAACATGAATTGGAATTGAACAAAAATAATTATAATTAATTAAAAAATATTTACTATAAATATTAATAAGATAAATTACATGTTTATCAAAGTAAAAAAAGGCAAGTGAATATTTACTATAAATTTTAGTAAAATAAATTGCAAGTTTTTCAAAGCATTATATGACAGATATGAAAAGAAAATGAATAAACAAATAAAATGAATAAATAACAGAATAATTTTAAGCTTAATAGAATATTCAATTGTTTCTCATTTAATAAAATTAACAATTTAATTAACAATTAAGGAAATCGTAACTTAATTTAACTGTAATAAAGAAAGTTGAAATTTGCAGTTAGCTTAAATTTGTCGAATTTGCCAAAATTATTCT